TGAAGGCATGAAGACATGGATGGTAAAGGAAATAACAATTGTTTATGTAGTTGCAGTAACCTACATCAAACAAATTCATGTGAAATTGCTTCACACATTTGAAAATGCCAGGAGCTAGCTCTATGCTCTTTAGGCAGACAGGTATGTTATGGAGTTATGCAAGTCCCCCGTTTATCCTCCCTGTTTTCATGCCAGAGAATATAGCAGTTTCAATCAGAGTTTCTAGCCAGTACACTCAGATGATATTTTTTTTCATTATATTTCTTAATTTCTTGGTGTAATCCCCTCAAGAACAATACAAAACAGAGAGTAGTTAACATACAAGTGAAAGGGGCCAGCCTTAATCATAGAATTATAGAATGTTTGGATTTGGATCTTTGGGACCTTAAAGATCATTTAGTTCCAACCCCACTGCCATGGGCAGGTACACTTTCCACTAGAGCAGGTTGCTCAAAGCCCCATCCAACCTGGCCTTGAACACTGCCAGGGATGGGACAGCCACAGTTTCTTGAGGCAACTGGTTCCAGTGTCTCACCACCCTCACAGTAAAGAATTTCTTCCTAATATCTAACCTAAATCCATTGTCAGTTTAATGCCATTTTTCCCATGTCCTATCCCTACATGCCCTTGTTAGAAGTCCCTCTCCCAGCTTTCTTGTAGACCCAGTTTAGATATTGGAAGTCTGCTCTAAGCTATCCTTGGAGCTGTCTCTTCTCCAGGCTGAACAAACCCAAATCTCTCAGCCTGTCTTCACAGGAGAGGTGTTCCAGCCCTCTCATCATCTTCATGGCTTTTCTAATAGAATTAAACTCTTATTTTCTTTCCCACTGTACTACCTCAATAATCCTCTATGGTGTATTCTAACAGGCAAATGAGTAAATGTGGATCAACACTCCTGTTCTGCACCAGAAATACATTTAAAAGCACAACAGATGCATGCTCAGGTAGCTACTGCACCCTGGCTAGAATTGTTAAGAAGAAATCACTCAGCAGTAAAAATCAGATTTACTGACATTTTCCATGTGGTTGCTAACCTTGTCTGAAAAATGCACTATCTCCTGACATAATGCTGTGGTGAGTAGCTTGGACTATGACTCTATTTTTCTATTGCAAAGTTCCATAACTGCACAGTGTTGATCTATCTGATATAAGACATACAGCAGTTGTAGCAAAGAATGAACTTAATCGATGTTTCCTAAATGCTAGGCTAGAATTCTAAACAAAGGACAATTTCTTTTACTATGGGATTAACCTCAACAGATCTACTTTATTTGACAAATCCCTCCCTCTCCATCTTCCTTGTTATCTTGGACACTTCAGTGTATCATGTGCCTTTACCAAATAGCTTTGCTTTCCACTATTAATGATTTTCAAAAACTGTTCTGTCCTGACATCAGACTACTTGCTTCCCAGACTCTGCTGTAAACTAAACAAATTCCTTTAGTAGCAAAGTCTTCACCATCAAGATGCTTTGTTCTTGGAGAAATGAAGAGGCAGCCTTGCTTTTCCTATGGTCAATGCTATGAAGCCTGAAGACATTTGATTTGCACATTCTAGTATATAAGGAAGGAAATTGAGCCCAGATTAAGGTTTTTACATACTTTCTGACCTGGAAACCAGTGTATGAGATAGCTTCATATCAAAAGAGGATTTTTCTTCTAAGCAATTCTGACCAAGAATTTCACAAATTAAGGAGCATTCCAAACCAACTCTTAATTCCATGACTTCAAAGTTCTTTTTGCATACCATGGCGGTTTAAATGGAAAACATTATGCATATAGTTCTGGGGAAATAAAAATCAACCCATACAGTAAGTCCACTGGAAATACAGTAAATGTATATTAATTTATAGTAATTCTTAGGTCTCCATACTTTAGTAAAACTAATAACATTTGTTACAAACAACGTAATTAAATCTACTAAAGACTACTTCCACTTTGAGGATAATCAAAGCCCCTTTCAAAAAGCATGGGTATATCAAATACATTTAATGAAGTATTAACAGTTTACACATGGTGTCTTTCATGTGGGAATCACAGAGTACTTGACAAAGATTATCTTTCATACAAAAAATAGCAAGAATCATTATTTAACATTCTGTGTACCAGAAAAGTGAAATCTCTGAAACAGAGATTAACCAACTATTCTAGCATCACATGTCAAGTAGCTAAACTGGGAATAGAACCTAAGGGTTCTGGCACCTAATTCCCTGTTGAAGGCACTATGCTACATTAAATCCAGTTATACAAAACAGCACTGACATCAGCAGAAGTACAGTTTATCCCCTTTAGCATTTTAAAATGTCAGTCTCCATAACACTCTCTCAGTGTTTTTTGTTACTACAACGCAAGTATTATATTTAATTGGTATTAATTGTAATTAGGAAATGTAAACAGTTCGGTTAAAGCAAATCAATATGGGGGTTTTTATTACACTATTTCCAACTTAGCATCAACCATAAATGATGGGAAAATGTGTGTGTGAGAAAAACCTGAATATCTATGAGTTCCAGCCCTATTTTCAAGCCAGAATTTTCAAAAAAGCATCTGAGCTTTGGATACTTGCTGTGAGCTGGCAGAAAGATAACAGACATTTTTTCTTACATTTGCTTAAAACAGCCACAATTCTTTTTTTAAACAAACAAAACTGAAAGCAGATGCTTAACGGATGCTCAGTATTATCAGTTAACTCCTAATTTCAGAGAAGCAGCTGAGTTTGCAGACACTTTTCTATATGGAACCTCGAAGCCTGACATTTGTCCAATGCCTATTCTAGTACCATAAATTAAGATGGATTTCTGTGTTATTTTTCATTGTCTTCAGTGTAGAATTTTATAGGATTTTCATTGTAATGCCACAGAAACTACCACCCACCAGGTACTATGTTGTCTTGGGAGGGGCTGTTTTTGCTATTCCTTCTACTAGTTTTAGCTGGGGTGGAGTTCAGCCTTCTTCATAGCAGCAATTCATAGCACACATATGGTGCTGTGTATTGCATTTGTGACCAAAACAGTATTGATAACACACCAATGTTTTAGTTATTGCTGACCAGTGCTTGCACAGCACTCAAGGTCTTCTCTATTTCTGACACTGACCCCCAGAAAGTAGTCTTCCCAAGTAGTGGTTACGCATGATGAAGTCCTGCTTTCCTGGAGGTGGTTGAACACCTGCCTACTGATGGGAAGCAGTGATTGAAGTCCTTGCTTTGCTTTGTTTGTGCATGCAGCTTTTGCTTTTCTTATTAACTTGTCTTTACTCAACCCATGAGTTTTCTCTCTGTTACCCTTCTGACTCTCTTTTCCAGCCAACTAAGGGGGAGTGAGTGAGTGGTTGTGTGGTGCTTAGCTGCCCACCAGACTAACCACAACAATCCTCAAGAGATCTGGGCTGTAATAAGGATTACAGAATCTACCATATGGTTGTGGAAGACACCATTTGGTTAGGGTCTTGGCAAGACCTAGACAAAATTGAATTATGGTCCAGGTTTATACATGAGTCTGTGATTCTGACTGCTCTGATGCATTACTGGCCAGTACTGAGGAATGAATACAGAGTTTCTTTCTGAGCTGCTCTAACAGGGTAATTCATACAGTACAATGAATCAATCTATACAAGATACAGTTACACTGATCTGCTACGATACTTTGGCAAGCAAGATTAAGAAGCATGCTGGAGATCATAATGGTTCTGCAGAAATATATATGTTACTATCTCAATCTTACTGTTACTGTTAACCTGTAAGTGAAAATTTCCCATTAGATAAATTGGAAAGGCAACACAGCTGTCCTCCAGTGACATTAAGATTTCTATTATGATTTCTTGGTTTACAAGTTCTGTGGCAAGAAATTTTCATCTTTAATACTGTCCAAATATATTTGCAACTAAAAGAAAAAATATATCAAATAAATGTATCCATTGAGCTCCATGGCCTGGGAGAAGGGTGAAGGAGCATATTAGTTTATTTAACAATACAAAATAACAAGGTCTCCTACTTTTAAAATATCCTCTTTTCACTTATCAAAGTATTTAGTAAGATAGTCTCAAGAAATAAAGTTATTAAAAAGACATTAGGACAATCTTTATAAAAACAATCAAGCTAATTCATAAATGATTACAACAATTTGAATGAAGTAAACATTCTACTTGGATTACTAGATTCAGATAGTTCATTTGACTTCTCAAACAGTAAATTCTCAAACTGCTCACAATTTTTGTGAGAAATACTAGTCCTTTGGTAGTACTTAATTCTTAACCATTCTTAATATAGTCATCAGAAATGCAGCACTTTGTTTTCCTGAATAGTCTGTACTAGTACAACCTGGAGGGGGAAAAAATAATCTATTCCCTTACCTGCTTTGCACAGCTCTGAAGATGATGGTGCTGGCAGAAACGGCTGACTGGGAACACATAGTCTGGGAAACAGGTGAGAGCAGGACTGTTCTTTTCAACAGCAACCTATATTTACACTGTTTTGAACTGATGATTAGACTGTACCTTGGCTCTCACCCTGTGGTCTCCAGACTCCACCCTAAATAATCACTTCCCTATGCCTATTTCTGTCTCACAAGACAAAATCTTTAAATCCCAATTATTCAGTTCATAAGCCCACACTATCAATAAAAGATGCCATTACTTCATGTAATGAAGTGGACCTTTTCTAGAAGGGTATTTTTCATAGTCTTTTATAAACTTGAAGCTTTTTATTCTCTTTGATAAATTTGGTCTATGATGAATAGCTTTTTCATTTTGCTTACAAATAATGATAAAGAACAAAGCAGAAAGCAATCAAAAGGAAATGGGTGAGATCGAGGGAACAATTATTTTTGACAACTGATGTCCAAGATCTGTGTAACCATTATTCTTGCATACATTAGGCATATTAGGAACATAATCCATAGGAATTTTCAGAGGCAATAGATATTTAATCCAACTTACATTACTTATAAATTTGTAAACCACTACACCTTATACAATTTCATTTTTGATTTCAGATCTGATTACCTTTCTGGAAGAATTCCTCTAGTTTCTCCTTGAAAGGTTGGAGATGCTCTTCAGAAGACTCTCGGCAAACTAACTTCATCTGCTTTTCACAGGCTAGAAAAAGAAGTTGAGATAATTTTATGACATTAATGGCATAATTCACCTACCTGAAATAGATGTCAACACTGTAGAAGCCTACATCTAAATTAGTCACCTAGACTTAAATTAGAGGAAATGGAAATATACAAGCACTAAGGAATCCAGTAATTACATTAAAATAAAACCCACCAATACTAGTCTAGCATACCAGATAGAAAATTATATATGTGTTTAAAGAGTGGAATTTGCCTTTAGTAACAACTTCGTTCTAAAACTCCACCTGTCTGCTGAGAGCTGCCATGAACACAGCCTGCCTCACACAAATTCTAGATGGTATTTAAAGATTTAAACTTTGTTTCTGTGTTGACTGGAGGATGTCGATGTCTTGTATCGATTGACTAGTCAATCAATGCCAATCCTATAATCAACCATTTTTCCTAACACAGATGAAGGAATTCAGCTTTACTTAAGTATTCAAATTCCAGGCCATGATGTGTAACAGCAGAAGACTGTAAGAAAATTAACTTACATCTACCTGCAATTTGTTTACTATTTATCTGTTATTTTAAGACCAGATGCTATGCCAATTTCTAAAAACTCCAGGTTACCTACTAACTCATTTTAACATTCTAGAACTTCTAGTAAACTTTGCAGATTCCAGCATCCACATTGATGGTGAAATGAGACTGTAAGAAATCAAAAGGCAGTTACCTTCCATTTAGTAACTGAATTTATATTGTAAGATTTTTTTTTCACCACAACTTCTTATTCTCAAGAAGCTAAATTTAGATGGAAATTTATTTTGAAGTTAAACCTGAGTTACAGTTTGGTTTCATGAAACATATTCACACCAAATTGCTTCCACCATCATATAATACAACTCACTGCAGCAAAAAAATAATACAAGACTGTGGAAAAAGAACTTGAGAATTTGTAATTCAAATGTCATGTTAACGTAAGTTTACAGTGCAGTGAGAAAAGTCAATGGAAGTTTGAAAAAAGATGCATACATTCTATTGTATAACTAGTAGTGTGCCTATAATGCTATTGGACCAGTAGGACTTAGAAAAAAGTCAGCTTTATGATTAATTAAGATCATTTGTACAGCTGTTGTTACAGAAAAAGTTTAAAAGATACTTGTTTACATCTAAGTGTATATTTTAATGTAGCATCCCTGCACAACTAGTGTAGGTTGTGGACTATAAGTTCCAGAGCTTACGTAACATGGACTAGGCTACAATCTATCTTTAATGTCTAGTCTTGCAACCTGTGGCATATGACAGACCTTTGAAAATGTTCAGAGTAAAGTTAATGGATATTTGCTTTTATGCCAGATAGTAGACAGAATGGAGCGTTAATTTAAACATAATACATTGGGAAATAAAGACTTTTATTAGCTGTTCAGTTATGTGTCTTTAATAAATTAAATTAAGCAGAACAAATCAGAAGTCACAAAGTTTATACGACTTTTAAAGATTATTTCCCTACGATACATGCCTCTTACCATTAAAACTTTGAACTTTCCATGACTGTTATCATACACTGAATGAAATTTATGTGTATTTAACATCTTTGTTTGTAGAATTAGAGGATTTCTACAGCTAATCAAGCAAATTTTAACACTTTACTTTGGAAGAAGACAGACACATTAGAACTGCATAGGGGGAAAAAACTAGCAAAATAACAAGAGACCGTATTGGTAAGTTTCTGACTGGAAGTTTGAACAAAGTAGCAGTAGAGGTTTTTGGTATTTCTTTGTGTTTAAACAAATCTACAGAAAAGTATATAAGGCAATATTTAGAAATTATTTTAGATAAACATAAAATTATAAAAATGTAAAAGTGTTAGCACTTGTGTTCAGGCACTTGGCACACAGCAACAACAGAATGCACACGATTATTACAATTATGTAAGATTGCAACTATTGCAAGCCAATAATAATTATATTATCATAATATTATATAGATAAATTTGTATAAATCTATAAAGAAGTAAATTTCTATGAATATGTATTATAATAAGCTTGTAGCTACAGCAGTATCTAAACTTACACTAACATACACTAGAAAGGCAATTTCCCAAATATATGGTGTTGCTAATGCACTGTCTGAAGAATTGAAAGCCTCCTAGATGCTGGCAGACTAAGAATTTACACTATTGGAAATACTCAAAAAGAGAACTTTGGATGATTCTCTCTGCTACTGATATTTATCTAGATGATATCTATTTAAACCTAAAATCTATCCTTTTACTTCCCGAATTCCTGATAATTGCCAAAATATACTGACAGGTTCTGAGAACATTTTAGTTTTGAGCTAAAGGAATCACAAGGCTGATGAAGTGAAAACCTGTTAATCACAAAACCAGTGTATTTGACCTATACTGAATGTAGGTTTTACTTCACTCAACCTATACTTTTGGTCTACAAACAAACAAAAAAATCTCTGATTAACTGAAGTTTAACTAATTTTGTTTAAAGTCAACTGTACTGAAATATTTGAATAAGACTTGAATTTATTTACTTGCTAATGTCAGAAATGAGGCGCATCACATAGGTATGGAGTCACTGGCTGAAGGCACTCATGAACTTCAGCTGGAATTGCAGTCTCAAAAGTTTTCTATTTCTGCTGAAATCTCTCCAGTCTCAGTCTTCCCTTCAATACTGAAATGTCCTACACAGAATAATAATTCTTTGTCCAAAATGATGGCAAGAAACACCAACCAAATCTATCTTTTAGGCTGAAGAATTTAGGAACATCATGAAATTTGTCTGCGGATAGATATGGCAAAGAATGGTAGAAGTGTGTTGAAAGGAATCGTAAGTCAGGTACAAATGAAGACACGCTTGGAAAATGAAAAAGATTTTCATGACAGGGCTAAAACAAAGGTTTTAATTAAAATGGCAGTTGTAATTCTGCAGATTAAGTCAGCTGGTCTCTGTCATTGTAATATTGATAGAAGGCTACCCCACAACACTATGACCTGTCTCAGTTCTACAATACAATCACAAGTTTTTGGTAGCTAACAGTAATTGAATTTCCTGTTATATAATTTCTTTTTTTATCAAAAAAACCCTAAAAAATTTACTTGAAATATAGTTCTTTTTTTGTTTTGTTGTGTTTTATTTGCTTTGGGTTTTTTTTAAATTATCACATCATGCAAACATTACATTAAAGAAAAGAAAATGAAAAGACCTGTTCCATCAGTTGTTCTGATTTTCTTTGCTGAACATGCTATAACATGGTTGAGGGACTGTTACATGAACTTTTTATATTGTATTCACTAAAACAGAAACACTTTCCTTTTTAAAAGAAAATTATTTTAGCAAGGTTTTTATTAGAATGATTCTGAGGCAAGGGCCTTAGCAGTAAGCTCTGAAAACCTTCTTTCTGAATAGATTTCTTTCTGAAATTTTGAGGAATCTGAAGGAATTCTGAGGAATTTGACAGTACACGTCTCATCTCACCATCTCATTCCAAAATAATCATTTGAGAAAATATACAACCTGTTTCAGCATTACTGAATTCAAACAGATGCATATTCTCCATTACTGTAATAAACTCTTGGTTCATTTTCTTGGTATGTATTGTATGTTCCTGAAATTAAATGTAATACACTACTTTGAAAATTGTTTATTTCTAAATGAGCTATTGCAAAAAAAAAAAAAAAAAGAAAGAAAAAGTGTGTGCAATAGTATTTGAAAGCTCTTACAAATTGTTGCATGTACATCGTGCTTCACCCACTGCAAATCTTGGCCACAGAAATGGAAACCATTAGCAAAAGATTAAGACAAAGCTGGAAACTGCTGATTATCAGTTTGCCACTGCCTTCAGATTTAATGCAGTACTTGGCTCAAAAAGTTCTTTAAAAATCCCCAATATAAGTGAAAATATTTACAAAATAGAATGTCTCTCACTTAATGCCTGTTGGGCAATAGTCTTAAAACTCCACAGACACTTGTAAATCTGTCAAAAGAATCAGTGCCCATAAACAAACTTTCATGTAAAGAGCATTTTACTGTCAATCAGATCAGATTTGGAATTTTTTAAGCACCATTTTAAAAGTAAACGCAAACCCAGAAATAGATTAATGTTGATAACAGTAAATTACTAGCTATTTACTCACCAGAAGCCACCAGTAGCACTTACAGGAATCATCCTGACAGTGAAACCAAGTATCAACACCATGAATTCCTATAAACCTGTCACTGACACTATGCCCCATGAGTTATGCCATTGTGAAAGCTGCTAACCCACCCCCCTCCTTTTGTCTGTTCAGAGTCTGGCAGGTTATACTGCCAAGCTTGCTATTTTATTTTCTTGTTATAATGCAGGCTTATCTTTGACAGGAGGGTTACTATTTGATAATCCCTTTTTTAACCCTTACCTTTTTTGTTTCAAAGAGGATTTGAAACCATGCTGCAAACAAATTCAGTGTAGCACTAAATAATCCCAAATTTCTGTATCAGAGGATCCATGATTTTTTTATAGTGCAGAAGCCTGTTACACTACTTGGGCCTATTTACCCAGAGAAGAATCTAAAAAACTTCAGATAAAATGTATAAATTTAAATTATTCAGCACATGCTATATAAATACCTCATGTTTTAGTTTGTTTGGATTTGCTTTATTAAAGCAAATTTAACGTTTTAAATATTAAAATTTTCTTACTTGCAAACAACTTTCCAAGTTATACCAAAAGGTACTGGAGATGCATGTTTATTCACTGGATGCTGTTGCAGGACTTGGTTATATTCTCTTGTTATTACTTGCAATATAGATACATATTTACTGCAGGTACACACATAGGAATGTTAGCTTTATTATAATCCATTATATCTTTGCCATCTATAGCTTTTGTGCTTATTTATAACTTTGTAAGTAAATGTTTCATTTCAGATAGAATTTTAAATAAATGTGGAAAAGAAGGGATTTATTGTGATTCCTTTTGACAGCTTCTAACCACTGCAAGTGGTTAGTTTCAGGAAAGTTTCAGAGGCAGTATTTCACTTATATT